ACTGATTGTGAAACTACTGTGTACTAAAAGTTTGTATCGAGGAAGAATAAACTGGTTTAATCAAGAAAGGACTCGTATCGCTGAAGATCATCGGAAATTATTTCTACCGGAAACAAACAAACAAGCAGATACTGTAATTGCATAGACTATTTCACAGATGATTGTGTTCCCAGATTGTATAAAATATTATTGTGCATTTATTTCAAAAATGTTAAAATTAATGTGCATTATTTCTGAATTTTTAATTAATTACAAAATTATTGATTTTATTGCATACTGATTTCTTAGAACATTTACCTTATATCGCACTTTTCAAATCAAAAATAAAAGTTATATAGTCTACCTCATATAGATATATGTGTCCATGGCAGTGAAGGAGTTAAAAGTGATAAAAACAGAAAGTACCTACCAGGTATAGGATATGTGGGGCTGCAATAAGACCCACACTGGATACGACAGATCCTATGGCCATGGCTGAGCCTCTCAAAACTGTGGGAAACAACTCTCCAGCATAAACATAGATCACAGCGAACGATGCTGCTATTCCAAACTTTCCAATGTTTGAAAGAATGACAGGACCCCAAACATTTTCTGAAGGAGAAAAAACAATATTGAAATTTAATAACTGTTTCTAAAGTTCCTTTTAGAAGTTACCTTTCATTCTATAGATAGAAAGATCTCTAAACTGGTATACAACCTGATTTCTAATTAACTCCTGTAGTTTCCTGTGAACACAATTCACAGATACTTATTCATATACCTATGCACACACATCCAAAAATCAGAAACATAACTCTTGATTCACTAAAAAAAAGTATCTGTCCTAACATCATTAGAAGTTCAAGTGCAAAACACAGTGTTCAAGTTGTCTAGTGTTTTACACATTCCATGATACATATCCAATGTTTAAATTGTCTAGTGTTTTACACATTCCATGATATATATCCAATGTTTAAGTTGTCTAGTGTTTTACACATTCCATGATATATATCCAACACAGTGTTTAAGTTCTCTGGTGTTTTACACATTCCATGATATATATCCAATGTTTAAGTTGTCTAGTGTTTTACACATTCCATGATATATATATATATATATGCAACGCAGTGTTTAAGTTTTCTGGTGTTTTACACATTCCATGATATATATCTAATGTTTATGTTGTCTAGTGTTTTACACATTCCATGATATACATCCAACGCAATGTTTAAGTTGTCTAGTGTTTTACACATTCCATGATATATATCCAATGTTTAAGTTGTCTAGTGTTTTACACATTCCATGATATATATCCAACACACTGTTTAAGTTGTCTAGCGTTTTACACATTCTGTGATATATATTCAGTAACTGGGTATATTTTCAGCAGTATTCCAACACTTGCTTTTTCCAACATCAAAACAAGTACGTTTTACATATAACAATTTCTCAATCATTACCACTGGATCTTCAGACCTTGAGCTCCACATTAAAGAATGTTTACTCACAGCGAAAGACCTTCCAGATCTTAATGACCTACAAACATCCTTTGACTTAAAGTTATTCTAAATAGCTACACTTAACGTTCAGCCGTTTGTTAAGAATAGTTATAACTTGATGTCTCATGCAACTTATTGACTTATTAACATGTTCTATAACCTTTACTTCCTTCCGTTTACCACTTCCATGAATATTTTAAGTTAATTAGTTATTGAAGTTACTATAACATTATTAATAAATATTGTTATAATATTACTTCCAGACTTCGCTGAAGATGGAATAATTGCATTCCGAAACGTTTGAAGTTTCTGTATATAAAAATGTTTTGCTTCTTGTCAACTGTCTTCGTTTTCCCCTTCATGAACCTGTTGCCAATGCCGACATGAATATAAACACACACACACATAAAACTGCATGTGTTATGATGAGAGCACGATAATTAACAATTATCTTTTAAAATATCCGTGCAAGCATGGGCGCCCGCAGGAAGGGGCAAGGGGGTCACTTGGCCTCCCCCTGGATTTAACAAAAAAAAAAAAAAATACTAGATATGTAAAATTTTTCTTCTGTGTTATTGGAAAATCATAAGGTATTTGTATGTCGATTTTATACTTTTTTCAAACTTGAGTTAGTTGCCTCCCTCTAATTTTTTTTTTCTGCGGGCGCCCTTGCGTGCAAGTTTCTTTATTGTGTCTATCACAATTATACGTATGTATATCCATTTTTAACGACTATTTTGCACCTTATTATATAATATAAGGTAAACATATTGTCATTTGAATATTTCGGTTTAAGTACCGTATTGCATTGTAGGCGTAAACAAACAGACACAGCTTTCTGAAGCGAATTTAATTGCCACAATTTAAATGAAAATATGAAGAATTTAACTGACTAGAACGTGATTTTTCTGTATGGATTGTTTTGTTTGTAGCTAAGCACAAAGCTAAACAATGGGTCATGGGTATCGAGTATCGAAATCTGGTTTTTAACGTTTTAAGCTTGCAGACTTACTTCTGAGCCAGTGGGAGGGATCTTTTCGGTATGGTTTTGCCTGCTCAGTAAGGTATAGAGCAATATGGTACTTGCCAATACACATTGTACTGAAAATCTGGCCAGTCATTGCGTTTGAATACGACATGGCTGTACAAAGGATAATGGTTTTAGTGTTAACCTGCAAGTAAATATGGCGACTCGTGCAATTAATGTTCATTTGTGGCCCAAAACGAAGTTTGTTTGCTGCTCCCTTGCTGATGTCCGTGTATGTTGAATCGTCTAAACACCCATCTACCTAATTGAGGTTAACACTACTTCTAATGACCAAAGAGGTATTGTATCCATCTACCCAACGTATTCTAAATTAGTGTAAAATTCACTCATAGAATTGAACTTAATGTAGCAATCAAAACCGTGGGTTGTTCAGCCCTGTATACATACTTACACCCACTCAACTGAACTTAAAATAACAACCAAACTTTCGGTTGACCAGCCTTGTATACATACTTACACCCACTCAACTGAACTTAAAATAGCGACCACAGTTGTGGGTTTGTCAGCCCTGTTTATATCTACCTACTTAACTGTGTTGAATGAACATCAGCACCGAAGTGACCAAGGCAATTACGTATGCAATACACCCATACGCTACTAACAAAGGTCCTCACCAACTAAACTAAACTCAACTCTAAAGTAGTCAAGTTTGTTTTTCTCCCAAGTTAACTAAATGTCACTGATAAAGGTTTGCTTCGACCCTCTAGTGCCCTAACCACCAAGTCATGCCAGACCTGCTAACATAGGCCCTCACCCACTAAACCAAGTAAACGTTAAAATAACCGAGGCCGTTTCTTACTCAAGTGAAATTAGTTAGAAACAAAATTTTATATTCAATATCAAATGTGTATTTTAAAACATACCACTAGGGATAAATATGGTGCAAATACAGGCTAATCCTCCCATCAACATGGTACCACAAGTTACCCAGCGTCGGCCCCATGCATCCATGGCGTACCAGACTAACAAGTCTGCAGGTATTTCTACCAAGGAAGAGATGGCAAAAGCTAGGTAGGCGTTGACTCCTAGTTGAGACGCTCCCAAAGAAAGTCCACTGTAGACAACAGCATTTACCACCCACACAAAACTCACGATGACCACTTTTTTACAAAGGTTTCTGTTCCGGAAGAGGTCTAAAATAGATGTTTTGGACTCGTCGTCCATCACCTTACTGTTTACGTCCTTCCATTCTTCCTGTCAGGGATATGTTACAATTGTTAACACTCTTAAACCACATAACACTATTTAATTTTAAATCAAGTACATATTAATCAGTATTTATAAAAATTATTCTACGTAAATATTATCCAATACGAAAAATGTTACGAAAGAAATTAGCTTATGAGTTCAAGTAGTGGCTTATTACATGATTTTTTCTTCTTTGTTCTTTGCAGCAACCCAAAAGGAGAATAATTCGTTAATGGTGTACTAAGCAATTTGACAGATACGTCTGATAATAGATTCATTTTGAGTCACGAGAGAACTCCAGCTGTTAATACAATTAATAGAGGGGGGTAATTTTATTGCTATTTGTACCTTCTAAGTGCCACTTTTGCACAAAAGAGAGAATCTGTATGAGCCTATTTTTAAATTTGAACCAACATTCTGTGTCTCGATCTTGCTAGCGTGTGACTCATTTCAAAAATATTGTTACGACATCGAGGTCACGTGACTGGTATCACGCACGTCATTCTTGAACTTTCACGTCTTTTCCTTAAATCTCGTGATCTTTCTAGATATAGTGTAGTCTTGTATATATAAGACCGGCCACGAAGCGACGGTGAGGTAATGAGTAATTGAATGTATGCAGATAAAATATTGTTGGCCACGTGAGACGTGAGTTATAGCGTTGTGATAGAGCGACTGTTGAAATTAAGTGTATCGTAAAGTTGTATTCGAAAAGAATAAACCAGTTTTATTTAAGAAAGGACTTGTGTCGCTAAAATTTCGTCGGAACGAATTTACGAAAATTAACTAACGACTGGAGGCGTAACAATATGTAACAATTTGCCTTGAATTTGAAGAACAAACTATCTGGAATGACCAATCAGAACAAGTAGGTGAAATAGCTCTTATATTGTTCATTCATTTAAAAAAATCTACGCTGCCCAAGACAATTAAGAGAAAATCTCCCGCAACTAACTAGCCATGCAATTTCGTTTCGTTCCCTAATTTAGTGAAATACTGTTACAAGAATGTACGGGAAAATTTTGTAGTCGAATGAGCCATCACACCCGTTTCAAAGAACCATTTACATTTTTTTTTTCAGGGCACATTGAAATATTATTGTAACAGTAATCAGTGTCTTATTTAGGAATAAATTATATTTCCGTAATATTATCCTGCGTTTTACAGCAAACCTTCAAGGCCACAATGCACTCATCTAACGCGTAACCAAACAAGCCAATCATAACATAGTTTCTAATCGCTTGATACAAGTCAAAATTTCGACTTCACATTGAATGAATACGTTATGGACTAGTATATTCGTAGCCAACAGGATCATACCGAATTTACTCAACGCGTTGTGGATGTTCAACTACACGTTGAATTGGTTGACTACGTTATGTTACTGCTGGCTGGTGGTGTATGTGGATATAACGCATTAAACCAAAACGTAGTGATCAGCACGTGGAGTTAATACGTTATGACTGTGTAACTGCTTTGGTTGCCATATGATTGGGAACTACGTTATGATTGGCTTGTTTGTTTATACGTTGCAACAACGTGCTATGGTTCTGATTGTTTTGTTTGCAATATTTATTCTATGTGGTTTCTAAAATATTTTTGAAACGGTTAATTTTCATTAAAATTACTTATGTCTATAAAATGCTAAAAATGTCAAATAAGTGGTAATACCAGAATTATTCACTAATTTCAGCGAAAATAAAACACTTAAAACGTTTGGTTGATTTATCTAAATCTTGTCAATAAGTTTAATATCGCTCGCGTTTAAGGTTTCATATTTTTCATATTATTTTCATAATCCTAAATATTTTTTTTTTATTTATAAGAGAAACAGTTAAAACAAGTTATTTCAACAACAACAAAACAAAGTGTTCAAACTAAATTATTATTGACAAAAAATAATTTTAAACTATAACGTGTAGAAATATTAATAATTTTTTGTCACCTTCAACATAAACGGCACCTTATGAGACATATTAGCTAAACAGATAGGCCAAGACAGGCGGAGTCGTTTCTAACTTAAAACAGTGCTTATCACAGAGATGGTAACTAGTCAGTAGCATGGGATTAACTGGAGCAATTATAACTTTCCCATAAATGATTGTTTGTTTTGTTTTTGAATTTCACTCAAAGCT